TATCGCGTCTCGTTTCGCGTCTCGTTGTAACGGCTCTCACTGTAGATCGTTGTCTAGATGAAAAAATGTAAAAAAAATATTTTTATTCTACATCTTTTACTTCTTTTTTCGCGTACAATCACCCCCTCCCTTTCCGCTTGTACCATCAGTTACCAACCACCCTGTATTGATACGATGATCAAAGATATCGTATACAGAAATGTTCAATTTCGGACACGATAAACAGATCTGGACGAGCATAGGTTCTTGGCGTAAACAAATGTACCGATTTTGGCGGAAAACATTTTAACGCGCATTAAAATAATAAATACCTTAATGTCGTTTATTAATTATTAATTATTCACGATGTTCTGCGATTCCTTTTCACGCGAGCTTTCATCTCGATCTTTTATATGTGAAATTTACGGGCCAGAAAAAAAAAAAGAAAAACGTAACTAGCGATATAATCTCGGAAGATACGACCTTGAGACGACTTCCACTCTCGTAGCCTAATTCTATTCCTTTCGCGATATGTTTTTGTATCGTGACAAATAAAAGAGCAATTAAGGATGGCAGAGTTAGGTGGGACACCTTATGCGTAAAACTCGTTGGGTAAAACGAAATGGTAATGGAACACTTGAAAGTTCTAACGTTTCACTAACGATCCAAGGATACGATACATATGATCGTAAGTATATACAGGGTGGTTGATAACTGGTGGTATAAGGGGGTGATTCTACGCGAAAAAAGAAGTCGAAAATATAGAATAAACATTTTTTTTTAATTTTTCCATCGAGACAACGATCTACAATGAGATCCGCTATAACGAGACGCGACAAAGTGCACGCGTACCGACCGAAAATTCAAAGTCGATTTTCTCGAAAACAAGGCCTCGAACGAAAAATGTTTATTCTATCTTTTCGACTTCTTTTTTCGCGTAGAATCGCCCCCTTTGCGCTTGTACCACCAGTTACCAACCACCCTGTATATATTTGATATAACGATATACGAAGCCGTGATTATTCATGCCAGTACGTTAAAAGCCATTAGCTGAATAACAGCATACATACGTGAAAAATAACATTTGCTCGATGGCGCATCTCCATACGTGGCGGCAGTTCGATCCCGTGGGACACTTAAACCCAACTGTGTGCTTTTTCTGAAAATGGTTGGGAAACATTGCACTAAAACGTCTACTCTATGTACATTAGTTTCGACAGCTACAGCTACATGTTATTTTATCACGTAATTGCGACAAAAGGGAAGAAAACTCTTGAAAAAGAAAAACCACTGATTCTCTTTATCATATACTAATACCTTCTGACACAACCAAAATATTTCAAGTAACTATTTCACACCAGGTACTACTATCACACTATTACACGTAAATTATGTTTGACTACGTCTGTCTATGATCAATTACATTCCGATTAGTATCGATAAATAACAACCATAATTTAATTCCATAATAAGCATTAATTATTTAACGTTTAATGTACGCTTGTTACGTATGTTGCTTTAACATAGTAACGTAGTACCGATTCATCGTATATCCCATCTATATATCTTTTTCACATAGACGCTGCCTATTTCACTGACTTTTACTCTGCTATATAAAGCTGTTGAACACATAAGACAGTGGTTTTTAACCTGCTCGAAATCGCGCAACATTTTCACATTATAAGACACATTCGCGCAACGACAAAATCACCAAAGTGGCAAAGCTAACCGACTAAACTATCGATGAACATACTCTTGCACGAACATATTCAAACGTATAAATTACGAACGAAAGAGCAGTATAGACAACGGTAAGGGAAGAAAATGATCTTTTCTTTAATTTTAAAGAAAGACGCTGTATTCGTAAAAGCTATAATTAGAATAATTCTTTCGTCGAAATTACTCGTTACCTTTAATTCGCTGGAACGTTATTGTTCCGAGATATCGTTTCGGTTAAGAACCACTGACATAACGTATAATATAGTATAACTGACACACAGCACAATAACGCTATTACGAATGTTTAAAAAGTAAAGGATCATTAAATGCACTCCTACAGTGACAGTGTAGAATCTACCGAGGCAAATTGTTGGTTTAATACCGATTTGAGAGACTTCAAACAATTACGTCGCTTCATCGAGATAGCTAATCGTTCGAAATCTCTGCTCGTAGTTTCCGCCAGTAGCGATACAGCGATCTGCTCTCCACTCTCACACCGATTGCCGAATTATTACTAGTAACAAGTTGATCGCATTACACGACAATAATCAATCAAACATGTAATTTCCACCTATGTTAAAAGACACGAACAATCCGTGTGACTGCTGTGAAACGACTCACCTTTGTTCTCACGTCCTGGATAGGGCCAGCAGCGGTAGAAAATAATAAGATTAGTCGAACTCGTAACAATATCGAGCGCGTAACGTACAAGGTGTCTGACTTCGATTCAAGTAAATGCCAGCACATACGAATGAACGATGATTCGTGAGAAGAGCGTAGAGGTAGCGGTTCGCGAAAGTAATCAAACATGTACGCGTATCTACGCATTTAATATGTCGGTTATTTTTAAGGGAAGTAAATTTGAAGAATCGTACGCGTGTATCGATTCGTAGCCAAGTATGTTCGGTCTTGCTGCTTCTCGAAACCGAAACCTTCGACGAAAGAATTTTATTCCACGTTTCTTTCGTTATTTTTCCATGCCAGCTCGGGTACAGTAATTTCTCGCAAATTCTTCCATTTAATTTTTCTTGAAAACTCAACCTCGGCCAACAAATTTTTACTCTGTATCCTCTTCTTATTTTCTTTTTTCCTCTTTTTGGCTCGACTGGACTCTGCATTCGAGACACGATTATCGTCGTTAAAATAGCAAAATTCCCACATAACAGAAACCCATTCGACGATGTACACGCATAAACAAGTTAGGAAACATTTATTGCAAACGTACGCTTAATGGAAAGTTAGTACACAACAGTAATAGTGATAGAGTAATAGTAGTAGACATTTGGTTAATGCTAAAGTTAGTTTCACCGAATGTCGTAGGTAGCTTATCAGTGTAGCGAATGATTTTATTCATCACCGTTCAACAACTCGTATACGTCTAATAACTCTCTTGTAACTTCTGTGTACATTTTTAGATCAGTTTCACGCATTGTCAACGTAACGGCGATAGTCGTGTCTCGTTACAACGTTTAACGAGATTTCAAGTTCTTCCATATAACGTACACATACGTAAAAAGTTGGAATACTTTCGTGACCCGCGATATATCATGAACCTGTATACGCGGTGTATCTAACAGGAAAATAAGAAGCTTTTGAAAGATCTAATTTTATATCCGAATACAAAATGGAAACACCGAATACGATCTGTTTCTATGGTTTTTAACTTTTAAATTAATCTCTAATTTTTAATAATCGTGTTTCTCTTGCTTATGAGATTCTATCTTTCTATTGCAATTATTATACATCGGTCTGTCGATAAGTTTCACACGCTTTTACCGTTTACTGTGTCTTTTGGTTCGATATTTAACTAATTATATTTATAGATACTGTTAAAATTAATTAATATAATATTATAATATATTCTAATGATATATTGCATATCCTACGATATATATTAGGATATTTTATTCAATTAATATCGCTCTTCATAAAAAATCCAATTAATTCAAAAGTAGCATACACGTTCTCTTTTGATATTACGTAGGAATACGTAAAGCGCGTCTAATTTAAACGTAAACGGATAAAATCCTAAGATTAATTTCGTTATAGAATTAAGATTAATTTCCAAATATTTAGAAACCGTCTATTTCCGTTCCACTTTTAACATTGTATTTATGGACATGTCGATATACTTGAAACGATTGGAAGACTCATGGAGTTAGTAATCCTATAAACCACGTTCAGACACTGGGTCAAGGTTGGTTCATCGATCACATTCACAAGAAATGATTAAAGTAATAACAGCGATTACTTTGTTGCTTTCGTCATTCGTCGCTTTTAAGGAAAATAAAAGTAATTCGACTATCTTTAATATTAAATTTGATGATACAGTCGAAGGAACACGCACGAGCTCTCATATTGATCGCTTGATCACCCGATTTTTTTTATACGTATGATGAATCGATGTGACGACAGGTTCTATTTATAGGATTAGAATAATTCCAACAGGCGAGAGAAAAAGAAAAAAGAAATAAAGAACGACCTCGATATACAGGCAAGCATCGCGCTGCCATACGTAACGACGATGTGAAAATGTACTCGATCTTAGGCAATACCGGCGATCTTAGACAAATTTACGTAAACTAAGAAAAATTGCATACGATAAGTAACAATATAAAAGACGACTGTAGTAAGCGAAACAAAGTAATTATAATAGTTACTGTTACGAATGTATCGCGTCGTTGCCTCACCTTTTTATGACACGGACAGAAAAGTAAAAGCTCGCTTGGACGACGCGACGCTAAAAATTTCTGACGTTTCATACAGTTTCGCGCGGACCGCTTATTTCGACAGCGGTGTAACTCCACTTTCCCTTGTTTCGAGATATCAAAATGCTTGCGTTTAATGATTGAAAACTCCTGATAAGATCTATTATACTTTGTTCAGTTTCTAAGCGACTAAATTCGTTATACAAATAGCTCTCGAGGATCAAGCAGAGCAATATCTTTTTTCAGGGTCGCAAACGGATATACACCACTTTAAGAATTAGCGAATTCTACGAGTCGTTAAATTTTCATTGTTTGAAACTTGCGTTTCGCGCTTTAATCTATGCTTTCGCTTACAAGAGCAGGAAAAACGAGATACCGTTGTTTAATTTCAATATCATCTGTTTTTGATTAATGCCTAGACTGTTCGCAGACAGGTCACAGATTACAGAAAATGCACTTTCAAGATAAATGATTGTGCAAAACCATCTATTAACGAAACTTCAACCGACGAATATTTTTAAGATTTAAATCGCAAATTGTTCATAAACAAAACGTTCATATTAGAGTATACGCAAATTTTTGCTCTTCTCCACTTCTTTTTCCAGATATGGACTTCCATCGCTTTCGAAATAAACGGTCTATATTACGTAATAACGTTCTATATCTGTATTACAACGATAACAGCCATTAGAACTAAAGACTAGACGAAAGATAGTAACGTCGGCTTACCGATTATTCAGAGGAAACGTTGCTACAATGAGCAAAGTCAAAAGGACGATAGTCTGTCGACTGCCAATCTTTCTTTAGTGTATCTTTAGATTTTTGCGTACATGGCGAAAAGAATGGAATGTAAATAGAAATTTGTTCCGCCTATTCGATATTAAAACGACTACTCCGTTTTACATGTTTTATACATTTTTGCATTCCGTGCATTTTTACGCCTTTTAAATTTCCCACCAAGCGCGTAAAACTTTGCAGTTTTGCAATAGCAAATCGATACACCTTAATAATCAAAACGTAGTATTTTTTACTCGACATGTCAGTGTCGAGAAAAATTAATACGTATCTATATTATACATAAATTGTATTTTATTCTATCGATTTGTAAGAAGCGCAAATGCGAACAACGTAAAACGTACGAGCTTGGTTGATCTTATCGAATCGATTAAATCGAGAAAACAAATAAAAAGGATGTTTGATGACTTGAAACATTCCAATATAGATACATATGAATAAAATATACACGTATTTCATACATATACGTAATACATTTCTATAACGATATAGAGGCAATACACGCGTCGTTATAACACCTGTTTCATTTTATCCGGAATTAATCTTAACATAATAATCTTCGTAATCTTATAAATAGTTTCCTGTCAAAGCTAATTTGAGTTAGTAGTAAAATTCCAGCCGTGTGTTTATAATTAGAAGAAATAAAGTTAAAAGAAGAAGCGTTTACCTCGCTTATCGTTAAATGTACAATAAACATTTTCCCTTCGAAGTTGATTTTTTGAACCTCCGGCCAGCGGAAATGGTGTGTTTTACGGGATCCTTGAAACGTTAGGATTCCGCAATGATTAATGCCGAGATATAACTGCGCACCTTTTTGGTCCTGAAAATGAAAAGAAAAGGACGTTTTTACTATGGCGTATAATGTATCTTATTTATATATATATATATAAAATTGAATATCTAATAAAATCTAATATCGTGTATATACGTAATATTTTAGATTACTTTTAGTATTGCTTTTTTAATTTTGGATTATCTCTTCAACTACTATTTGCTATATTTGGCGAGTGACGACTCGCAAAGACTCGCGAAAGTTGAGGTACGACAGTTGTCGATATTCGATCGATGAGAAGGAAAATTATTCTATAGAAATGCGAGTCTCTTAAAAATAAATAAAACGACGAGTACGACGTCGAACAGACAAAGAGATATCGTAAACAGATATAGAGACGAAGATGAAATTGAATTCGATCCTTAGACTAGGCGTCCTTGTACTCTCACAGCTCGTGATAGACACGCTGTTATTAAACAAATTAAAGAAAAACGGCAACTAAATGCCAGACATAATTGTTTGGACGACGGAATTTCCGAATAACAGAGCATCTTTTCTTATACTCGTATGATATAATATAAATGTATTTTTTCAATTATTTCTGCATTCTCTATATCCTGTTTGCTGCTAAATCGGATAAATCAGTTTTAATACATTCAGCTACGTTCAACTACTTTCTGTTTGCGCCTGAAACGGTCCAAGTCCTCTAATTTCGTCAACGCTTTGAAATGAGAGAGATACTACATTCATCGCCACTTCCATCCTTGCATTCTCCCTTCAGCATCGACACTTACAATTTTAATAATATTTATTCAAATTTCAAAATTGTCCCGCGTAATATAAGATCTAGATCCTAGTGTTTCCTTATCGCTAATTTATAGAAACTATTTATATTTATATTCCAATATTTTTATGTAGTATGCTTACTTTTACAGTATATTTAAGTATATTTACTTTCCAATCCCATTAAACGAATTATGTCAACAACTCACAAGACAACAGACACATACGCTACATACATTACGCACATTAAACACACGCATGCCCACACATGCTCACATGCACACACACGCACACACATACGCGCACACACGCACACATACACAAAAGATACAAGTCCGATCGTGTGGCGTGAGTTAATTCAGCGGCGATGGTACGTTTTTCATTCAAAGTGCGATAAAACATTAAAAAAAAATTGTACATCAACTTTTTACAGGTCATTGTGAAGGGGAGACTTCCCTTTACAAAGTTATCTGGAAACGTATCTGCAAAAGAAAAAAACTTTTTTGATTCCGTGGAGTTGTTTGAATTTGTTGAATTTTCGAAAGGAAAAAGTATCTTCGCTTTTTCAGCCGTTGTACACGATGTAAAAACAACTATGAAAAATATGAACACAGAGGATCGTGAAAGAGGAAGAAGCTTCGCGTGGTTAACCGAGTCCAGTCCTCGTACGACTTTATTTTCCCCCAAAGTCACAACAGTAGAAGAAACATGGAGAATTTTTCATCGAAAATTTAGCGATCCTTTAATTTTGCATGCCAGTGTATTGCGTCGGTCGACAACCAGGCAGGCAACCGATTCAAATTCTTTTCCGTGTCTTTTAACCCTCTACAAAAAGTAGTAAATAAGAAATAAAAAATAACAGATAGTTGCAATCCGCTGCCATGGTATTTACATATTTCATCGCAAAATAAATATTTTATTTATACCGAATTCAAAGCGTACGTACAAAATAGTGATATGTACACTGAACGATATTTTCAGATATTTTCAGAGTATTTGCTCGTAGAAATATTTCGTTCTTTTCTTATTTGCTCGAATCTATTTAAAAAATTCACCAACTTTGATTCGCATTGATTCCTTTACACAGAAAAATTTATTTAAAATTAAATATGAATGTAAGAAAGGCTGTCCTTCGGGATATGATCAACCAACTAGAAAGTGATGCTGTGTGCAAAGACAAGTGAAAAACTGTTATTTATTTATTATTATTTACAATCAATTCTCGCATTGAGAATTTTCAATAATTTTTTCTGGCTAATTAGATATTTTTATGAAGTAATATTTACTTATTTACAACATTTACTTATAAATTATACTTATCTATAATAAGTATTAACTTATTATAAATATTTAGCCATGGCACTGCGCCACGCAGCGCAGTGACAATATTTATAATAAGTTAATACTTATTACAGATAAGTATAATTTATAAGTAAGTGTTGTAAATAAGTAAACATTACTTAATATAAATATCTAATTAAATCTAGTGTTTAGGTTTAGTGTTTAGGTGTTTAGGTTTAGGTCTAGTGTTTACACTCGAACGTAAATCATAGATTAAGGGGTTAATCCGGTGTGACATCAATCACATCTCAACCTACATCAGTGATAATACATCGACGCACTGCGCCACGCCAGAAAAAATTACTGAAAATTCTCAATGCGACAACTGATTGTAAATACTAATAAATAAAAAAAAAAATAATTTTGTTCGAACGGTTCTTGCATAAAATCACTCGTACGGTATTCTAGACAACGTACGTAGGTAAGTAGCTGCATGGCGTACTCTATCTGCATTAACAACTATTTTACGTTCTAACATGGTCTAAGTAGAAAAGCAAAGTTTTGAAAAACACACCTACCGAAGCAGCGCTATTGGATGCTGAATGTACAAACGTGACGACGATAATTTGGCTGACGCAGCGAATAAAGTTAAGACGGTACCGATACTAAAATACGATGTCGTACCTAGACGCAATTATTCGTAATTATACACAATTCTACGCAATTATACGATTGGTCGTACTATCGCGATCGTTTTCCGCACGCACGGAAGAACGAAATTGAACGCGGACAAAAAAGGAAAGATGAAAAAAATAAATAAATAAATAAAAATGAAAGATGAAAAAAATAAATAAAAAAAAAACAACAACATCGTCACAAAATACTACTCAATCTCTATCTTTAACGAAGCGTCCTGTTTCGCGACCTCGAAGCGTCCTGTTTTGCGACTCGAAGCGTCCTGTTTTGCAACCAAGTTTTCAGGACAGAAAAAACAAACAAAAACAAAATCACATAGAAGCTCCGCTCCCCCAGCGGCTTAAACCTAAAAATTATATTAAACACGAAAAATGTAAAGCGCCGACACATATTATAGCATAGGTTTAGGTCTAGTGTTTACACTCGAACGTAAATCATAGATTAAGGGGTTAATCCGGTGTGACATCAATCACATCTCAACCTACATCAGTGATAATACATCGACCCCCGATCTTCGGACACTTTTGGACACATCACCACCTTAGCATCATAGCATACACCAAGGCTGTGACGCACCTCAGTCCACATCAGAGATAGGATATGGACCCCCGACCTTCGGACACTTTTCTACATCATAACCTACAGCTAGCCCCTCAACATCCTAAAACCAAAACGTATATAAACCGAGACTTCACCCAGCTCGGGCAGTTCTTGTTCTTCTTCTAGTTGCTGTATTCATACAACCCCTTTTCTCCGGTTCGGTATTATTTTGTAAGTGTTAACATTTATAATAAAGTTTTATAAAGGAAAATAAGTAGTTGGGTTACGACTCAGCCTTCTTACTACCACCCAAGTACCAACTTTACGTGACACCGGCAACGTTGGCCATAACTTAGAAGCTGCGGTAACAGCAGCGCTCTACGTCTCGTCAAAGACGCCTCTACGCTTCGATCTGTTTTACGTCTTTTGAAACGAGCGCAATCTACATAGACATATGCGCTGTGACTGATCAAGCTATAGCTATATACGATCGATTTGTAACATCAATCCACATCAGAGACCAGGCCACACACCGCGGGCAAGGTGGCAGCCAGATGTCTGCACATCCTTGGCGCGTATCCTCAATATCGGGATAGAAAAAAAAATAAAAAAAAAAACTCCGCTCCCCACAGGCTTAAACCCAAACACACCGCATCATACAACAAAAAAATGTAAAGCGCCGACACATAATACAGCATGGCTACGTCGTATCGAAGGACCCACCATGGGTCTTGGCGTTTTCATAGTTAAGTTTTCATAGTTCATCTTTCACCTCAAGATGACAATAATCAAAGAGGAAATAGCAAAATATAGCGACAGATATAGCAAAAGAGTCAACAAACATCGAAACCCCCTCTGCCTAACACACCATTACAAAAAATTCATGTTTATTGTAAATAATGTACTTAAAACCTATATTTTCTGGACTCAATAAACTCCTTTGTAAAGTCAGTCTCTATCTTTAGAATAGCCGACATCTTTTTACCGAGTTTCTACCCTTAGACTAGTCGCGTAGTTAACGTATCAGTGTAACTAGGTTTTAGACACCCAACAGATCTCACAAAGGACACAACCTAACAAACACGAAGATGGTACCCCGCTGAGGGTAGCCACCCACATGATAATCAAACAGCCAAAAAATTCTACCAAATGTCCAAATCGGACAAATTGTGAATGTAAACAACTAAATAAAAAAAAAAAAAAAACTAGGTTTTACATAAAGTTGTTGGAACGAATTGTGATTTATGTTAATTCAGTGTGTATTGCATTGTGATTGCTGAATTCGTAATTAAAATAATAAATTCATAATAATTCATAATAATGAATTCATAATAAAAGTTTAATAAAAGCAAAATTGACAGCTGTGTCACGACTCAGCTATTTTATTTGATCATCCAACCCTCAAGTTTACGTCACATCAGCTTCGTCTTTATCTGTTATGTACCTCATAAAGAATAGCGGATGGAAGAAAGTTTAAACGCAAGCGGTAGAAAAAGATCTGATCTAATCTGATCTAATTTAATGCGAAAATTGTATATACGTGGACATAGGCGAACAAATTACTTAAGAACTTCAAACTTTCTTTCGTCTACTGCCGTATGCGTGTATCTGTTAACCGACTAGATACCAATGAATCTCTTTCGCTTCCTATGTATTACAATTAAAGAGGAAGAATTTGCTTCTTTTACATAGAAAATTAAAAAATTACGAGGATAAGACGCGTGACACAGGAAGACACGATTCGAGGAAAAAGATTATTTTTCATTCTGGTCTTACCTTGACAGGGTGTGGGTCAACGGCGTACGTGTCCAACTGCGACGCTAATCTAAGAAAGTGAGTTTCCGCTTGCTCCGGGGTGAATCCCTTCAATTCTGTTTGATGCAGTTTCATAGCTTTCTCCTCGATAGCTTCCGTTTGTTTAAGCAGTAATTTGTGCTCGGAAATGTAATTCCCTTCGTGGAGTTTAGGATCATAATCTCCTATTTCACCTAAAATCACAAATTATCGTTAAAACGTTTAGTTCGCACACTGTGTTTACTTATCTGACTATTGTAACGTCATAAGATACATAAGGAGATACGTATAATTCGATAATACGCCAGCTATATCGCACCAGTGGTTTTCACGAAAAAGAAGCATCGGAAATGAACGAGAGAGTAAAATTATATTACATACTTCGAGCTTCGAAATAGGACACGCTTGGAATGTCAGAGCAACAAGGGTGAACGAAGGGCTTGAGAAACGAAAACTAAACGCGATAACGTCCGGACGAATGAGCAGCGATCGGCAAGTGTTTGGCTATGTATCCGGAGAGGCGACTTTCCGAGAATTGGTTCACGGTATCCGCATCGAGAGTGAGAGAAGTAGACAGGGCGGAGACGGATTAGAAATTCTTGCTCGCGTATTTTTCTTTCGTTCTTTCGTATCATTTCGATCGTACGGATCTCGATAATCCGACTAAGCTTACCTCGCGATTACCAATACGATAAAAGATAGAAAAATTATTTTTCTTATTCCGGTAATTCGATTACGTCGAAATGGATCATAGATAATGATGGTACCCCGCTGGCAGTAGCCACCCACATGATAATCGAACAGCCAAAAAATTCTACCAAATGTCCAAATCGGACAAATTGTGAATGTAAACAACTAAATAAAAAAAATATTTCTGGCTAATTTTAAATGCATTGATTTAGCCATTCACGACCGGCACGCTTCAAATTCGATGGACTGATGATGGAGATAAAGATTTTCTTTTTTATTTATTAATATTTACAATCATTTCTCGCATTGAGAATTTTCAGTAATTTTTTCTGGCGTGGCACAGTAACATGGCGAATTATTTATAATAGGTTAATACTTATTATAGATAAGCATAATTTATAAGTGGCGCAATGACATGGCTAAATATTTATAATAAGTTAATACTTATTATAGATAAGTATAATTTATAAGTAAGTGTTATGATAAAGATGAAGATGGAGATAAAGGCGACAATGTATGTCACCTAATGACATCCCAACGGTCCTTCCGCCGAATGTTCGAGAAGGGGGCGTGCGTGGCAACGGCGCGGACGCCTAACAAACTCAAGGACAATGGGGATATCGAGGGGTGACAAAAGAAAAATAATCGAATCCGGTCGGAAGTCGAGTTGTAAGAGTCAGTTTTGAAAAGTCAGGCTTAGAGCTCGGAAGCAAATTGTAAACTAGGTGTTAGAAAAAAAATAATGTTCCTTTTATTTACTTTCCATCTTAAATTTGTTTTTTATAATTACCTGTATGTCATTGCGCCACGCCAGAAAAAATTACTGAAAATTCTCAGTGCGAGAATGGATTGTAAACATTAATAAATATAAAAAAAATTTGTTTTTTCTATTTTCTTGTGTTATTTTACGTGACAATTGCCACGACACCCGTATTCGGGTATTAGCAAAGTTTCTGGTCAGGCCGCGTAACCCATATTCGGGTGTCGCTTATTTGATTACTTGTCAAGGATCGTCGTAGGTATTTGAAAAGATATTCCATAATAATAAAACTGTTGAATCGTTATAAAATAAAAATACGAAAATGGTTTATTAAAAAAATTATTTGGAATGTAAAACTTTAAAGCATTCTATACGTAGGTGAGGTTGGTCGGGACAATTTGGACAATAAATTGTTGTTTTCTTCAAATTCTTTTCTGCCTTTGTTCGGTCCATTCGGCGTCTTTTATTCGCATAACATAGTTTGCACACGCGTCTAATGCTTCTTCCGGAATCGTTTTTCCGAACGGCGATATTATGCTGACTCCGTCGAAGACAAGGATTTTTTATATTTTCAGACAACCCTAATAATTTTCCAACTAATAATTGTCTAAATATTCTAATATTCTTCCTTGTTGCAATTTTGTAAAATTATTAAAAACGATTTTGTCACGAGCGACAATAATCCGGTTTTTCAGCGGATATGCAAAGTATGAACGTAGTGTATGTTATTGTGAAAATTAAAGTTTTACGATGCTCTCGTAAATAAAAATTCGAAGCAGTTAAATTATCGGAACATATACAGAATTACGATCGGATATAGAATTAGTCGAAATATCGATCGTACGAGACAACTGAAAGTCATCCTTTAGCTGCAAGGCAACATGAATAACAGATAAACGAATAAAACGTCCTACTTAGTTTCCATTGCAACTATCATTTTACATCGCTGTTTCATCCTATGCCGAATCGGTCACGTTGGAAGCAACAAGTCGCGGACGTGCGAGCAGTGTGGCAAAAATATGCAGTGGGTGATAGCTCTATGTACTATAAATTATCGAAAATCGATACTTGAAACTTGAAAGTTATAGAGCATCTAAAAATAAGATAATCAAATTATAGAGAATCTTAGATGCAATTTCGCCGCATCTGCATCGTGCTTTGTTGAAAACACGCCTAGATTACATTCTTCTGTAAATTTTTGACGAACCGAAACTACTACACAGAGCGAGTCGTGTTTTTCGTTTGTAATTTTCTCACAGCCCTGTCCTCACTTTTTCGCTTCTTTAAATACGATTAGCAAAGTATGCGTAGGATTTGGAAATCTTGAGAATATTTGGAATATTAATTGGAAAATTTTATGGACAAAGTATGTAAAATATTGAAAGTGAAATACTCGTTATAAATGTTAATAGGTACAATGATTTGCTATGCGAATTCTACTTCGGTACTTGTGCGGTATAAGAAATAAATTTGCATAAAAATCCACAATCTAATAATTATTAAAACGTATTACCATTTCATTTAATAGATGTTCTCTAACTTATGAGCTTAAGAAAATGAAACGTTATCGTAACGTTTCTAAACATGTACATTTGAATATTTAAATATGCAATGAAGCATATGTAACGTAATGGAGTCTGACATAAGTTACTAGTATTACATGTACACGAATCTAGTACGACAAAGTTTTATCGTAACATACTATGAAATAAATACATAACAAAGATCCATGTAACAGAGAAGTCTGTTTAGCACGTTTACAAGCAAAAGAAACACAAAAGATCTTATAGTTTATTTAATGCAATTTACAGACAGCTGTAATTTATACAAATGTTAATTTATCTCTCTATTCCCGATGTTTTCAGTTTGAATATTTCTCCTTATAAGAAATGAGTACCAAACGGAAATAACATTTCCAGATGAATCGTTTTGTAAGTTACATTGTTCACAATGTTACGATGTTCAGACGACGCTCTTTCGTGACTTAGTTCATGCTTGTTCCTTCGAAAGATTCAAATCGACGGTTAGGACACAGCCGTAACGATACGTTTTATTCCAGTATTTATTAGAACGAAGACCCAAGTAACTAACCACTTCCCGTATCATTTAGTTCGACGAAACAGACCAGACTGATGCTCGTAAACAAAAACATACGTTCAGTAACGATCGTGGGCAAAAAAACAGTCCGCGAGCTCGGCTTGTTATGTTTACGTTTGGCCCAAGTATCCGGTCGCAAGTCAGACTCGCGATATTTATGTTTGGGCCAAAATCTTTATCGCGAGTCTGATACGCTAAAATACGGGAAGAGATTAATAACGACAATGAACAACAAGTTCTTTGTGAAGAAAAATATATATTTCGAGCGAAAACTTCTTAACCGAAACTGTCTTAATTCGATGTGCTACAGACTCTTATTCGGTAAATCTCAAACACCTAACACGTTTCTTGTTTACAACGTTACATCGCTAGAACCATACCATAGATTTTCGAGCAGAACCAGCTATAGACCATTCTGCCGGTTGGTATTCAGATATTCGCGTTAAAATCACTCGACAATAACTTTTTATTTAATAAAGTCGTATCAAATAGAAGATCTACTCACTTTGCACGATGCATGCGGCGAGCAGCGCTGCTTCACCCGGACTGCAATATAGTCGGCCATGAAGAAGGTCTCTCTTAAGCTGTTGGTAAACCTGATACCTAGTTATTTCTTCTTTCAACCTCAGAGGATCCGGTGGATAAAATTTCACACGAAAACTGAACAGAATCGGATCCATGTCTAGAACACATTCGCAATAAAGAGAACGTATTTTACTTGTGATATATTAAAAAAGAATCATAGTTGCTAATAAATTTTGCCCCAATGAAATAACTGCAGTATACAGATCTGATTCTCAAATCATAGACTTTTCTACCATTTTCGCAATTCCGTTATCTTGTTTAACAAAATTATGCATCGACGACGATGGTTAATTTAAAAAAACTAGGCCTAGTATTATGCATTCATTTATTGCAAGAAGACAAATTAGATAACTGCAAATCGCAGTAATTGCGAAATTCTTACGCAAGAGTCCTTGTTCTTGCAATTTTTCTGCATGAGTATCTCTCTATAACACGTTAGTTGGTTAGTTTCCCGAGAAAAAATGCCGTGTTACGCGATTCCGTATTATACGAAATAAAAGATCAGTGGAAAAATGACGCCTTGGTTCCAACAATCGACAAGTGTATAATATTCTTTCATAAACGAGAAAAATATGCTTTTTTTCAGAATAAGCTTCATGGAGCCATGGCCAGCGTGGCTTCTAAACAACTCGTACTATATATACATATATATATAGTTACACAATTCACGATATATATATACTATATTATGTAATAATATTTTTATAGAATCGAACGATTTACGGAGATTTCAATGTCACGTTTCTTTTTCAAATCGCTGCATTTCTTTATCCATAGTAAAATAGAAAGTGTTTACACGATTTCAACGACCTTTAGCACAAGCAATGGCATCCGCGCTTCACGCATCGATGCAACGTCGAAATCATCGCGCAACTAAAGCTCGTGCACATCCGCATCGATCGTACCACGTGCTCTATAACGAGTCTACAGCTGCGTCTCGTAATATTGCGCCTATATTAGTCGTTGTAGTTGGTTATACGTAGGCGTTTTGTAAAGCCTAAGAATGCGAAGAAAGCAAAAAGCGAAATGGCAAGGAGTACGAATAGTAATAAACATTGGTAAGAAATTAGAGACCATGTACGTCAAGTGGCGTTATATCGTTCGAGTAGTTCTCTTTGCCATTAAAAATATTTATTATAAATATTCCAATTATCAACACGCCGATTAGATGGTATACGGTCAAATAGCATATTCGTATTAAGAAAAGGATTATGCTTGATTAGGTTTCATAAACCACCGATTAATATTTTATTTTTAAAGAGAACAAACTTTGAACAAAATTTTATCGCCGTTTTATCGTGCGTGCAAAAGACATTTTTTCATTATTTAATACACCATGTTAATCGTGAATTGCGAAACGAATAATTATTATAGGAAAGGTGGCACTAGTCTGATTGCCAAAAGACGGAATCGGTATAGTAGGCATGATCGCCACGTTAACCCTTGTTTACCAGTTGGGTACCTCGCATATTACGAAAGTAAGACGCGTTAAAAATTAATTAATCAATTAATCAGTTAGTTGATTAATTAGGTATATCGAACGTTAATCTGACATTAGCGGGCATAGCGTATAAAGAATTCTCGTCGAGCATAAATTTCCGCATGATATAAGATTCCGCAAATGCGCATAAACGGTAATACAATTTGCTCTGATATTATTTACTGATCAGATAAGTTTCACGAAAGTTTTATGGAAAGTAAATGCGGGTAATATACGATATTGGTCTGTGGAAAATTTGCGGATATTATCAACTAACGAAACTGATGAAACAGGTTAATAATCAACGACGATAATCGGTATATATTTCATTAACGGAACGCTTACTGGCATAAAATATTTTTTTTTATTATTATTATTTATTAAAATTACAATCAATTCTCGCGTTGAGAATTTTCAGTAATGGCATAAAATATGAAAATTTTATACGGGACAAGCCTTGGCAGGTTACTAGAAGAAGGCAACGTTATACGCCTATGTAGACAGTAAAAGTTGATATCGCGAAAAAAAATATTTGAGATATTTTAAAAGAGCCAAAAAGGATGAGCGAGCGAGCGAGAGGGAGAGAGAGAGAGAGAGAGAAAGAAAGAGAGAGAGAGACTATGGTAAATTGTCAAATGAAATTTCTTACTTTCTTTCCTAAGACCAAATTCTTCTGTTTATTTGGACGAATAGGAATAATACGGTACGTATTGGGTCACTAGAGTTTGAAAGTTTCATGTGACATCGACCCACGACGATCGACTACAGAAAGAAGAAAAAACACAGCAATCGAAACCTTGGCCACAGCTGTGCACTGTTATACACGATCGAATTTACGTGCTATCTCCTACAGAAGTTCTTATATGGAAACCTTGCAGAGTTTATTTCGCTCCGCTTAATTCATTTAATTCCTAAAATATGTATTCAGATCAGTCTACAGGAATCTATTTTTAATACGATTTCTCATTTTTTAATTTCTTCTCACGCGTGACTCTGATTACGTAGCTTCAATTGTTTCTCGAAATCAAATCGTGTTTGACAAATACCAGCCTTTTACGAATAAATTACGTGCAAAACATTTGGTCTAACGATATATCCTTCGCTAATATTTTTGCTATATTTTAACAGTGTGGAAAAATTATGGTACTAAAATATTAGGAATTTTTACAAGACACGCAATAAAACATTTAAGTAACAATCACCTTAAACATTCAAGCAATGCAATAGAGTTCCAAGTACTAACCTTTTACTTGCTTAATCGCTGTTTTTGCCAGATCTAACCAATGCTGAAACAGATTCATTTAATACGGTTAATTAAATATTATTTGTCACATCAGTTGTTTCATTTTAGTAATATTAAATACAAATCAAATATAATTCTACGATCTAACAAGTGATTAGCGGATTATTTTAATGAATAACCAATGAATTTTCAACGTCCAATTTTTGTTCGATTATTGGCAAATACGAACAACAAAATTGTTATTATTGTGTCACGTATTAGAAACTACATATACCTTTGTAAATACGTATTTTCTCGTATACGTAATTGACCGCAAATCAAGACTACTTGGCGATGAGTTATCGTACAGGACTCGATCGTATTTCGTAAATACGAACTTGGCAAAAGACAGCGCGAGTGAAAGAGGTCCGAAAGAAGTCCGAAAGAGGTCGAGACTCGATGAGAAAACAACACAGCGGTCAGAGAATGTTGACGCAACGACGCAACTTCTTATCGACTAAAACGGTTACCGATGTGATTCCTGTGAGCCTTCTCTTACCAAAAACAATACCACAGGCGATATAATTTGCAGCATATTTGCTTATTTAGCGACATTCGCTTATTAACCTATTTTTCCCCTCTATTATACATTTATCCGCATATACGTTTAAACGTGATTTAAACTACGTCGTGTTTGGTCTGATTTTAATCAGAAAAATTTTACCAAAGTGCCAATGCAATTTTTATTAACAGAGATTTGAAATAACAAGATTTCACGCAGCCCTGCGACCCTCTCGAGCGTCCGAGGTTTCAAAGTGTCAGGTCACGGGGACAGGGACAAAATGTCCTCCAAAATTTATCTCGTATCGAGTTGTGGGTAAGGAAGAAAACAACCGCAACGTATTGTGATATTTCTATAATGTCAGAATACGTCGTAGCCATCTTCCTTGTAACCCGTTGTAACCAATCGCGACACGAATTTCGCGCGTAACGACATATTTCTTTCCCTTGGTTAGACATTGGACAGCAATATTTTTTTTTCTTAGATAAATCAGTTTCGCATCGCTATATGTTATAAACGGGAGTATAAATAACTCTTTCTATTTTTAAGACACAGAAAAATATTTGAAAGAAAAGTTATTTGATTCCGAGAGAATTATTACGCGATGCGGAATATTTTCTTCTTGGATGGACGTGTTTACGAGTTTAGATGTATTTTTGAACATCTGCGATCGTAATCCTTCGATCAAAATGAATTCGAATCTCACGGTCGTTCAAGGTCGCTGAAAGTCACAAACGTAACGACGAGCGAAGAATAAAAATTGGTTCTGAATGTTTCTAAAGAAAGTTCTCGGCTTTATTGTTCGATCGATGGCTGATTCACCTGGCCTCTATCACGTGCTTATCACGACTTTTGTCGTTGAACCGACTACGTACCAATAATTCGTGAGGTATTTCAGATTTTTACACGAAACACCTGACTTTTTAATTTCAAACATCTCACGAATTATCGAATTTTACATTCTCTCTCCCTCTCTTTCCTTCCACTAAAAAAAAATTATTTATAAATATCACTGCGGTAATTTACGATTTATCGTATGCTGGATGCACGGCGCGCGTTCATGTCGAACGAGTAAATCCTGTGATTGAAATGATTGGTAGAACGACGGTATAAAATCCACTTGTCTAAAAATAAGACTAAAATTATTTAGAATCGCATATAATACTCGTATGATGCGCACGTTATGTCAATTATACAGGGTGGTTGGTAACTGGTGAAAAGGGGGTGATTCTACGCGAAAAAAGAAGTCGAAGATATAGAATAACAATTTAAAAAAAATTTTTTTTTTAATTTTTCCATCAACACAACGATCTACAGTGAGATCCGTTATAACGAGACGCGATAAAGTGCACGCGACCGAAAATTCGAAGTCGATTTTCTCGAAAACAAACCCTCGAACGAAAAATTTTTATTCTATATTTTCGACTTCTTTTTTCGCGTAGAATCACCCTCTTTCTGCTTTACCACCAGTTACCAACCACCCTGTATAAATAGGTCATCCTTATACGCGCAAGAAGATAAAAATACTGGTTTCTAATTTTTTGAATTATGACGCACTGTTCGAAAAATCCAGAGAAATAACTTTTTTAATCAAAATATTTCCCTATGGGATAGAAGAAGAGAAATCAAGTAGAAACTGCAAATCCTATTTAGGTGAATAACTACCCTAATATTTAAGAGTGTAAGGGGCTAAAATATTATCGAAATGCTTGTTCTAGGAAGCTCTTTTCATTCGCTTATCGCGAGTTTAATTTAGTTTAGGGACATTTCTATCTTGCTTATTCGACTATGTTCCTTTCAAGTTGAGCCGATAATTAGTTTTCCAGATAGAGTAGGTGGAAAATGTAAAAATTCCTATTAAAGCGTCAGCTCGTCCGGTTCCACGCACGGACAGTTTACGTCAGTCTGATAATTTGGAAGATCGTTGTCAGAGGTTTTGTAGACTGGTCGCGACGAATTTCAACTTGGATTTTCCAGATATTTTTCGGTATCGTAAATAGTATCGTAAATAATATCGTAGACATTCGCAGAGATCGATTTAAATGGGATACCAAATACGAATGTCGTGATAGTTTATACGAAGATAGAGTCCCTACCTGCCAAGACAATAACGCGTTTGCGTAAGAGTTTACGAGCTTTGTGCAATAAAATTTTAACGATAAAATAAAATTTTAATTTTTTAACGAATTTTTCATACCAGTTACGCGCTACTAATGCACCAGAAATGCAATTTGCATGTTGAAATAAAAAAAAAAAGTTTGAAAGTCTTGTGTTTGGAAAATAAAAAAGTTAAGATATTGTTGAAAGAGAAGCGACATATTTTGCGCTTTAATCAGACCATTGGTAACATAGATGTAATATCAAAGATAAGCTTTCGGGGCTGGCATTTGCAAAATTAAATCGAAAGAGAAGAATCTAGGAAAAAACATGGTTGAACTTACCCTTTGCCTACAATGATCCATGTAACGAAGCCCAAAATAATCCGTTTCCAGGATATTGAGTTGCTTGCATACATATTCGAGAATATACCTTCCTTTGTCCTGAGGCTGCAACAATAAGAAAAGAAAAGAGATTGAGACTAATTTGAATATGGAAGCATCTTACATACTATGTAACTGTTTTTTTAAATCATGTGTGTATGTTATAAAGCACATCGCGTGTATTCTATTTCCTTCCTTCTAATTAAAATTTCTCTAAATCCCACAATTATATTAATTGTGATTTAAATACAAATTAATCGGAACGTAGAGCGGATAGAAAAATTAAAACAATATTGTTTTAATTTTTACATGTTGTAACGCAACGTTACTGCGTCATAACATGTATAAGCAGCCGAAATATAACCTCGAATATTACGTATAACTTTATCTTATTTGAAACAATATTCTGTATTTCTATACGTACGCTAATGTATAATTAAATACAATTAAATATTATCAAAATTATTATTACAGTATAATGAACTAATAACCTGTCTATATAAAAGCTCGAATTTGTCAAATTTAACGCGAACGGTATTCTCCTGTTTCTAAGACGTGTGAAAGACGAAACCAACGTAAACACAAGAATGTCGCTTCGCGCCTTTCCTTCGTACGCTAAGTTTCACAAATTAAAGTTAGAATATCTGCAAAAGGATAATTTCCATCGTATAATGCTACCCCCCGCCTTCGAATCGAATAACTTTTGTAACAATAATTTTTTGATAATTTTAATTTCTCCTTTGATATTCTACAGTTTCTAGTTAAACGAAACTGTTTTGAATCTACTATCCCAAAACATTCACGAAACATCGGAACAAAGCGTAACCGTACTACTCTATCTAGCGTACGTTGCAGGAAAGAAGACAAGCAAGGTCACTGCTTTCCGCCACGCGTTTTTATATCCTTTTGTTTGTATGTACAATATATCACACTTTCGACTAATACCTTTACGTTTGTGTTTATCTTTACGACTACGTCGACTCTATGTATTCCTTGCGCTTTAGATTAGCTTTAAGTTTAGTCTTAATTTAATGCTAAAAGTACTTACAATGTATTTCGCGACATTTTTTTGAAATAATATTGTGACAAAAATCGGAACAGTTGTCAGAAATACCGAAAGCCATTACCAAAAGCATCTTTCTTCAGAAATCAAGTTTCTTTTACGTTATAATATCGATTAGTTTTTGGATAAGAACCAAAAAATCTTGAACCGATGATATTTCAATTCTAGCTTTAACCTACTTCGATTTCATCGCACAGAGCCAACAAATTTTTATACGATTTTTTCCATGCATCGTGTTTGGCGTATGTTCACTTTGTTCTTTCTCTAATCATTCCATCTGTAAACAAAAGCTTCCAAATGGGAAGTCGGTCAGTGCGGAATTCTTCGGTAAAGTTTGGGTACATTTTTTCCAATATCTTGCCGCCAATGCAACGCCGCACCTACTTCGCTCGTACACGTAAGCTCAATGAACCGTACGTTTAATGTTTTGATTAACCAAGTAAACATTCTCGTTGGGTAGACGATCAATGGGATAAACTTGTCGTTACTGGCGATAACTAAATTTTCATTGCAGTAGTTCTCTTCTACGACGGTACAAATGGTATAAATAGGAAAGTATTTGTTGAAACTGACAACGTGAGTTCGTGCTCGCCATCTATATGCAGATGTTCTAGATACAATCGATAGATTTAATCGTTAGGTTTAAGATATTCTTTTGTTTTTATCCCCTGTCTATGTAAGAACGTGCAATAAAGGTTTTTTTTGGCTCAGAACGGTGTGATAGATTTATCCATAGAATATAATAATAGCTATTGTGATATTACCTCTGAATAAAGACATAACAACAGTATTCGAATACTATTAGAAATGTATTACGTATATATATGTCGAGTTCTCATTGAGGTTAGGGGCGTGTAACGAATCTTCATTTGGATTAGTTATTGTTGTTATGCAATAAAGATTATATTTACCGATACGAATATGATTATTACAGAATTTCACTAATGAGAATGATCCTAGGTTCAATAACGAACCCACGGTCAACGGGACAGCAAATGCGCTTTCTTCCAAAGTCTTCCATTCCATGCGCTGGTAGCAGCCAAATAAGTGCAAATACGCATGATACAAAAATACTTTGATAATTGGAAAATTGAATTCGTTCTATTCCCGAAAAAGACAATAGATAACGGAAATACCGAGAAATTATTGGCTACAAGGTGACATTCCATCGATAACAATATGCAGCCGTAATTTGAAAACGTTTCGAATAATGAAATTACACGCTCTGTTTCCCGATTGACGATCAGTGGATAAACGAACAACAACGACGTTTGTTTGCCAACGATGTAGCGAATTTGGCAGCTATGATTAAACAGTTTAATGCACGTACGTACAAATAACTCTGTTCTGAAAAATGGAATAATAGTAATAATCAACACAGTAGCAGTAATCGGAAATGTACTGCACGAGTAACGGAAGAATATATTATAACTTGTCAAGCAAAAACTTGTCTAATAAATAATCTATATGATAAATAAATATAACTAATAATAAATAATAAATGAATATCTAAATCAATATGGAATTATACAGAGTCAGTATGGATTAACCATTTGAACGCTTTAACGCGTTGGTCGCCGTGTCACCCATATCTATGTGACGGGTATACTTCCGTGGGGGCCCCGTCACAAAGTATGGGTGACGCTCTTCTCGTTCGAGTTAATTGAATATAGGATATTATATATAGAATATACATAACATAAAAATATCAAAAACACATTATACCATACTTTTTATTAATTTATATTCTGGATAAAATATTACATTATGCTATATCGCGTGGTATTTGTTAAAACGTTCCAAACACATTTGGGCCGATTTTCGGCACTTCGAACGATAGTCGTAGACTCCGTCATCGCTACTCTCCTCACTTTCAAATATATTTTCACGCTGTTTACTGAACATTTTGAGGATGAAAAAATCACCGATGTACGTCTCACGAGTTTGCTTCTCGACTAAATGAAAGATCCGAGATATCTGCCATGAGATCCCTCGGAATACTCTAGCTGGAAAGCTCATCGCTTTCTCCATTTCAGAACTAAATAATCTTTTCTTTGCGATGAATCGAAGGCGATAAACAATGAATGCCCGCTTGTCGCTCTATTTACGTTCTGCGTACCGGCGGTCGGATTTGGGCCCCCCAAGAAGCTTAGCCGAATCACGCTGGGCGACCAACGTGTTAATCGCAGTTTTGCGACCAAGTTTTTCAGGACAGAAAAAAAAATAAAAAAAATACATTAAAAAAAAAGCTCCGCTCCCCAGAGGCTTAAACCCAAAAACTGCATCATACAACAAAAAATGTAAAGCGCCGACACATAATACAGCATGGCTACGTCGTACCACCGCGTATCGGTACCTTTGCCTAATATACCATTACAAAAATTCATGTTTATTGTGAATAATGTACTTAAAATCTGTATTTTCTGGACTCAATAAACTCCTTTGTAAAACGTGTTAATCGCAGAAAAAGTTTTGCAGCTTTCAGTCGCTAATACGACAGCTTGTATCAATTTTGTCATATTTACTCTTCCCTGTCTCTCGAAAAACTAGTACGATTTTTAATTATGTTTCGCGCCTCATTCTCGCATCTCCTTCTTACCGCCTAGATATCGCGACCTTTAGAGCAAGCAAAAAGATTGCTGTCTTACGCGTTCGTCATTCCCTTTTGTTCGTGTCCCTAGGTGTAGCACGTGCATAGAATGAGATTACGGGTTACAGTTTCAGCAAAGTTCTCGAACAAGGCGGTGCGAAAGCAGCGGAAACGGCTAGAAAGCGCAAAGGACAGCAGGCAAAACTGCAGAACTGAAAAGATGAAGAACGAAAGTAAGGGAAAGGGGCGAGAGAAAGTTGATTTGTTGGAAGAAGCGGTGAACGGAGAAACACGTGGCCTGGCAAAGAAGAGCGGAGCTCAGAGTGGAGCGAAAAATTGACCAGCCAGTGGTCGGAGGAACGCGAATGAACCGAAGGGGCTATATTGGAATAGCAAACCGGGTTTAGTTTAGAAATTTCATTATAAATCTAAAGAGTTTACACGAGTGGTAAGACGCACAAAGGTTTCACTAACGCGTTTCCATCGATGGTAACACGAAATGGCGAGCTAAACTAGAAGACAGTGGCGAATATTAAATAAGATGAAAGAAAACTGTTGTCCTCGTGAACAGGCGAATGTTTTGATAGTTAAAAGAAAAAACAACGATCCGAATAAGGCGAAGTTCGAAGATCCCTGACATCTCGATCCACTGCTCGCTTACCCCTTCCCGTGCCATTTAGTTCGACGAAACTCGGGCCCAATCGGTAGACATCGACGCGCGCTAAACAGACCGGACTGATGCAAAAAAACAGTCCGCGAGCTCGGTTTGTTATGTTTACGTTTGGCTCAAGTTTCTGGTCGCGAGTCAGACTCGCCGATATTAATGTTTGGGCCAAAATCTTCATCGCGAGTCTGACTCGCGATATTTATGTTTAGGCTAAAATCTTACGTTAAAGTACGGGAAGGAATTAATGTCGTTAAGTTAAGCAGGAATTATTGGCTACGTGTAAGAATTTTTAGACGCGATCGAGTGCCGAGATTAAGGGCATTTTGAGTGAAAATGCGAGTAAGAGGAGACAACTGCGTGGCAAATGTCCAACGATCAGCCTCGACGCCCTTGGACTCCTTACCTAATTAATCTATCGATGTTCGAGGAAGAAAGCACAGATGAAACAATGTCGCTGACAGATGCGGCAAAATTGGTGGTAGAAATTATGCTACGTATAGTTGGACCGAGACGAGGAAGGCGTTCATTGTAACAGGATTATCGGGAGAGTTTGAAGGTTTCGCGTTTTCTTTTCCTGTCACCAAACAGCAATAGATGAATCTTTCTTCGGTTCGGATTTTCAGACGAAAATAAACGAAACGGAGACGACTGAAAGAATTACGGAGAAGATCGAGAAACCGAATCAGTTGAATTCTAAATATCGTTTATTCCAGGAGTGTGTAATGGAGAAATCAAGCAGACCCGTT